GGGTTCGATTCCCTTTATTCGCTCCAATTTAAAAAAACACTATATCCTATATAGACAAAAATTACAAATAATAGATATGAATCAAAAATCAAAAGTAAAAGTAAATAAACAAGATAAATTCTTGACAAAATTTGAGGATAATAATGGCAATAAATATGATTTTAAAGTTGAGGAAGGCGATGTAAATTTTGATAAATTAGAAAAAGATAGTAAACCAACAAGCAAAACTTTTAAATTAAAAGCTAAAAAAAGTGATGCAAAAGACGAACCAAGTAACTGAAAAGATGTAACAGATACAGAAGTTATTTATAAGGAAAATTGATGAAGAAAAGGCTGCTATATAAAAGGTAAAAAAATTAAAATTGACGGAAGTGAAGTTGAATTCAAAAGCGAAATAGACGAAAGATTAAATACTGAAATTCATAGTGTTACGCTAGTTTCTTATTTATTAGGTGGTATTTTGCTTGCTGCTTTGGCATTTGCCGGTTATTATTTTTTCTCTTCCAAAGAAGACAAAGAAGAAGAAAGTTTATAGTAGTAAGGAGGTTGTATGCTCCTTTTTTATGTTAAAAGTTTTAGAACACAAAGAAGATTTTGATGATTTTCTGTTTTCTAATCAAAATAAATTAGTATTAGTAAAGTTTTCAGCCATTTGATGTCCTCCTTGTCAAGTTCTAAAAAAAAATATTAAAGAATTATTAATTGAATTGCAGCATTCAGTTGGGTCACAGAAAGAAATTATTGTGCTAGAAGTCGATATTGATAAATTTTCTGCATTGACTCAAGAATCGCAATTCAATGTTCGTTCTATTCCTGCTATTTTTCTTTTTTACCAAGGTAAAATAATTAAAAAGAGTATTGGAAAACTTAGTGTTCTTCAATTAAAAGAATTTATTAAAATTTAAAAGCTAGGGCCCGTTGGTGAACTGAGTAACACATATGCCTTTCACGCATACATGGCGGGTTTGATTCCCGTACGGGTCACCAAATTAATTTAAAGTATTAAATTTTGATCAGTAAGACAACCTCGCTGACAAAACACCAATTGACCTTTTAATAAAGAGGCGTAGTTCAATGGTAGAACATCGGCCTTCAGATCCGATTATGTGGGTTCGAGTCCTGCCGCCTCTGCCAGTTTATTTGCCCAAATCGCGCAATTGGTAGACGCAGCGGGCTTAAGATCCGCAAAGTGTTGGTTCGAGTCCAACTTTGGGTACCAAAACGAGCAGGTTCTGTGGTGTAGTGATTAACACGCCTCCCTGTCACGGAGGAGATCGCGAGTTTGATTCTCGTCAGGACCGCCATTAATATTAAAACAAAATTAATGATAAGAATAAAAATTAATGATAAGAATAAAAAGGAATCTTCCTTTCTTATTTTCAAAAGAGCAGTTTCTTTTAATTTAAAAAGATATAGAAAAAATATGTACTTTCAAAAAAAGAAATAAGTTTTATATCTTAGGAAAATTCAGGAAAATGAAAAAAAAAACTCACTGAGGTAAACTTACTGATACTGATTTAGATTCAGACTGTAATCGAATTAAAATTTCCGGAGAAAAAAGCGATAGAAAAATAAAAGTAAAGGTAATAGATGAAAATAATAATGAAATAAAACGTTATCAAGACATTAAACCTGACAAGCACAAAATATCGATAATCATGAAGTTTCAGTGAGAAGTTGTTGATTATCAGGATGATGGCGAGGATAGCATTGAATATGTTATGAAAAGAGGTGACGAATCTTATCAAATATCAGAAGAAGAAAGAATTATAACTGTGTTAAAGAGGGATAATTTTGACAAAGTTTGAAAAGAAATGCACGGAAGATTGCTAAAAGAAAAATTTCTTGATAAAATTGATGATAAAATAGCAATAGATGATGCAGATGATATGGATTATAGGATTTCTGATAACGAAGAGAGCAAAGGTAATTGTCAAGTTTCTATTTATCGCAAAGGCGGAAGTAATAATAGGGTTTTTTCTTGAGAAAAAGTAGAAATCGAAACCAAGTACTATCGAAATACAGAAATTAGTGAAACAAATGTTGTCAAAATTAAATATCAGAAAATTAATGAAATCCCTCGTCAAACCAAAATTTTAACCATCTTTTTTATCACAATTTCACTAATAATAATCGGCTTAGTTTTTTTCTGAAAGAAAATTTGAAATTGAATAAGAGGAGAAACTAAACAAGAAAAAAAAATCCGCGAACAATTAGATATCTTTTAAAATAACATAATTATGAAAAAAAAAATTCATTTATCAACTCATTCTATAATTATTAATTGCTTATATTGTAGCAAACAATATCAAACAATTTCTACTTCATCTCAAAATATTTCTACCAGTAGTTGTAGTAATTGTAATCCTTTTTATACCGGCTCTTTAGTTAGCGAAATGAATGTTGGGGCAGTAGAGAAATATCGACAGAGAATTCAAAAGACCAAAGAAAAAATTAATTAAAACCATACTAAACATCAGTAAACATTATCGAAATTTGTGAGAAAACAAACTAAGAAAGGAAAAATAGCAGGTTTGCAATTAAAACAATAAACAAGCATGAAAAAAATTACTGAGATAATCTTTTCATAATTATTGAATGAAATTTTTGCTTAATTTTTCACCAAATTAATAATAGCTATTATTAAATTAACAATTGAAGTAATGCCGGAAGCTACGGCTCCATAAAAAACTATTTGGGTCAAACTTTTATGTCAGACATCCTCATTATTTTTATGGGCTTTTTTTAATTCTTCCATTTCTTTTTTTAGTCTAATAACTTCTTTTTCTAATTGTTCTTTGTTCATATTACATTTAGTAGTATAAGTTAATTATTTTTCTCTAATCGTTCTCAGTAATTTTTTTCTATTTTTTTTATCAATAGGACAATGAACCAAAGTAGATTTTATATAACCTGTTTCTTTTTTTTCTATTTGTTGGGGATTATAAGTATAAATAAACTCATAATTTTCCAAATATTCTTGTTCTTTTTCCTCATAGCAATCATAACATATCATTTTTGACTTGTCTTCGTCTCCTCGGTAGTATCTCAAATAAACTCCTTCCGTACCAATTTCAATTTCTTTTTTTTGACAAAATCACAAATCTCTTTTTTGTTCATGAGTTTAAGTTATTTTTATTTGATTGTTGAAAGAAATATCAGAGTAGGAGAAAGAGATTGAGTAAAAAAAGAAATATAATACCCATAGATATGATATTCATAAGTTCATGTAATTCTCTATCAGTAATCAATAATAAGTTCAGGCTTTTTAATTAATTCTTTTAAGCAACTAATCAATTTATTAATATCTTTTTTAGTATTGTAAACAGAAAGAGAAATTCTGATTGCTGATTCTGTTTTAATTAACTCTTTTAAATATGGGCAACAAAAATTTCCTGCTCGCGTGCAAATGTTATTTTTGGCCAAATATTCAGTTATATCATGAGAATGATAATCTTTTAAATTAAAGAGAACAATGTTAATTGATTTAACATTTTGGTTATAAATTATTACTTTCTCTAGTTTAATTAATTCTTTAATAAGATAATTTTTTAAATTCTTTTCTTGTTTTTCTATTTTTTTTATATTTAAACTATTGAGAAATTCAAAACTCTTTTTTAGACCAAATATTTGAGCTAAAGGCAAGGTGCCGACTTCGAATTTCTGATTTAAGGACAAGGTTTTATCCATTTTTTCGTTTGGTCCGATTTTTTTCCCCCCTCCCCAGAAAATATTAGGAATCCCTCTCCCTAATTCTTTCTTAATTCACAGAATTCCTATTCCAGTTGGGCCATAGACCTTATGTCCAGAAAAAACCAAAGCATTAATATTTCATTCCTTAACATTAGTGGGTAAGTGTGAAATGCTTTGGCAAGCATCAATTATTATTAAGCAGTTTGGATTTATTTCTTTAATTTTTTTGGCTATTTCGGCTACTGAATTAATCACTCCCAAACTATTGCTCATATGAGAAAAACTGACTATTTTGGTTTTTTTATCAATATATTTGCTCAAATTATTAATATCAATAGTGAAATCTTGATTTAAATCTAAAAATTCTACTTTTGCTTCTTTTGCTTGAGCGATGGCTTGTCAAGGGTAACAATTAGAACTATGTTCCGAATAGGTTAAGCAGATTTTATCCCCTTTCTCTAAATAATCTTTTAATGAAAGAGCAAGAATATTTAAAGAATAAGTGGCAGAAGGCAAAAAAAGAATTTCTTCGCTTTGTCCATTAATTTTTTGGGCGATAATTTCTCGGGTTTGTTGAACATTTTTTTGAATTTTGCTAAACAAGATATTTCCTCCTCCGCTATGATTATTGATTGAATATTTTTCATAATATTCATTAATTGCCTCAATAACATTTTTTGGCTTTAAAGTAGTGCCAGCACTATCTAAATAAACAAGATTTTTATTGTTTTTAAGAAAAGGAAATTGGCGAGAAATTTTATTACTCATAAAAATATAATCTCTAAAAAAATATAGTTAAATTAAATTTAAGAAATTTTACTGTATTTGAACATTAATACTATAATCAATTTAGTAATAGAATAAAAAGAAGATTACAGGAAATGAAATAACAATTATTGAAATTATAATTGGATTAATCATGTTACTCGAAATAAAGAAAAAGAAGCAATAGGGTCAAACTAATAGAGACAATCCTAAAATTAATATTATATCGCAGGGTAGAGTAGTTGGTTCAACTCGTCGGGCTCATAATCCGGAGATCGGAGGTTCGAATCCTCCCCCTGCTACCAGAAAAGGAATTTTAGGAACATTAATAAATTTTTTTATTCAAAAAAAATTAAGCCCAAATCGCGCAATTGGTAGACGCAGCGGATTCAAGACCCGTCCAGTGTTGGTTCGAGTCCAACTTTGGGTACCATAATTTAGTTATTAGATTACTAGTCCAAAAGTTTAAGTATGCTTCTGAATTGGTTTTGCTCACAAAATTCTCGTAATTTTTTATTACTTTTTCATACCTCTCATTGGAAATTTCAATTTTTCAACTCTTCTTGTGAAAAAGTAATATTCTTATCTAACTCAATAACTTTTTTATTAAGGTAAACAATTTCTTCCTGATTTTCTAATAATATCTTGGCATTTTTTGGTAAATTTTCTGGTTTTTGATAAATATTTTCAACTGTCCCGAATTGTTGAATTAACTTTTTGGCGTTAACTGGTCCTATTCCCTTTACTCCTTTAATATTATCAGCATTATCTCCTAATAAACTTAAGTAATCAACATAATTACTAGGGAAAAAGCCATATTCTTGATAAAAATCTTCGTAGGTAAAAATAGTTGATTTTCCTTCAATATATTTTAAAATGTTAACATTTTTATCGAGTAGTTGTAATAAATCCTTGTCGCGAGTGAAAATATTCAAATTAATAGAGACATTTTCTTTGATTTTTTGATTGATAAAAGCAGCAATCAAATCATCTGCTTCATGATTAATCATTTGGATTAAGGCAACGTTGCTCTCTTTCAATAAATTTTTAAGTATTTTCATTTGTTCTCATAACTCTTGAGGCATTTCCACCCGTTGTTCTTTGTAACTAGCAAGTAAAATTTTGCGAAAATTACTCCCACCTCCATCAAACACTATCAACAAATTCTGATAATTTCCTTTTTTAAGAATACTAATTAGTACTCGCAAAAAGAAAAAAACTGTTCCGTTGGTTATTTTTCAAGTTACCTTTTGAGCAACATGATAGGAGGAATGAAGTAAATTATTGCCATCAACTATTAATCCCTTTTTCTCCATAATTATTTTTGTTTATTATTATATAAAATTTACTTATTAACTTATGAACGCAATTTGTGATATAACCAAACAATATTTCCGAGCTGATTTGCCTTCTCTAGAAGTCGGAGACAAGATTGAAGTTATTACTAAACATATCAACCCAAACGAAAAATCAAAGAAAGACGAAAAGGAAAAATTCCGTCTAACTCACTTCAAAGGCACAGTAATTTCGCAAAAAAATCCTAAGCAAATTAGTTATACTTTTTCAGTATTAAAAGATAACAAAGGCAGTGGCAAAGTAGCTATTAGAAGTATTTTTTCTTACCACTCACCTTTTGTAATTAGCATCAAAAAGTTAGGCAAAATTAACCAAAAGATTCGTCGAGCCAAGTTATATTACCTAGAAAGGGAATTAGCCAAAAAGAAAGATAACGAGTAAAAATAAAACTTCTTATAACTAGTAAATAGTAAAATTATGTTATGAATTTGACACACACAAATTTAATAATAAATAATAACCTCTGCAAAAGAGGAGAGGTAAATAA